CATTGTCGCACTATCCTGGATCCCCAGTGGGCCTGAGCATGCGATTAGGAGTTGTTTCTCTAAAAGGGGAGGCAATTTTTCCAAAGTGTCCCCCCCCCTCCCACCCCCCGCTTGTCTCTTTACCTCTTCATGATGCCCAGATAGATGTGTTCATGAGAAGCCAGTCTAAGCATCAACTACTGCCAGGGACCATCTGTACTTCCCAGGGACTAAACCCACAACCATGGCCACTTCGGAGCTGACCAGCAGGCCTGGTTCTGAGGTCTGCATCTGGCTTTCTGCTTTGCACACATCCTTTTGTCTGGGCTCCAAAGCCTGATGGCTGAAGCTTCTGGAATGCCCTAGGCACTGCTGAATCTGATGTTTTTCAGCTTCAGTGATTCACAAATTCCAATTTGCAGAACTTTCTCAGAAGAACTATATTTTTCTCCAGCTGCCTCCAGAATGAACTGTTCCCCATCCTCCATCTTTCTTGACTGTGAAATGTTCTTCTGGAAGTTTAGTTTGGGACCATGCCCGTGCCATCACCCTGCTCTGGGCTTTGAAGACGTGGCAATACTCTCCTTTCTGTGCGATTGAAGTTGCTGTTGCAATGCCTGACCCCAGGCAGGTCATGCAGCCTGCCTTGGCATCCTGTGTTTCCATATGGCTCCAAGCCGTGGCTTTGAGCAATTAGCCCTCTAGAAGCAGGGTCCCCTGAGGCCCAACAGCACAGGAAATAGCATGTGGAGCCCTGTTGGGGGATGAGTGTGAATACACAGCTTTGGACAGAAGGAACCCAGCCGCTCAAGGTCTACTACCCCTCTATTGAGTTCTGAACCATAGCAGGTGCTCGGAATGAAGACTTACTCCTCCATCGCATTCCACTCTAGAGGAACTATGAACCCTAAACATCTCCATTAATTCCATCTGCGGAGCCTGGGTCTTAGAACATAAAACCCCTGGTGTTCTGGGGGACAGTTGCTCTTTCCATACTTGTTTGGAGAGAGCATTGACTTGGGCCGATGTCTTCATTCCTGATGGCGTCTGTTTAGCTCCTGCAGGAAAGTTCCATTTACATGAACAGGGATGGTAACAGGATGGGGCTTATGCTCAAGGAGCCCAACTTGACAAAGGACCATCTCAGGAGCACAACAGAGCAATTAAGAACTGGGGCTCAAAAGCCAGTCAGCCGGGCCCGTATTTGAATCCAACTCCACATTTAACAGTTGGGCAACTTGGGCAAGTCACTGTACATTCCCAATCCTCCGTTTTCTCACCTGGAGGAAAGGGCCCATGAGGAGCATTAAAAGAGATGATGTGTGTAAAGGGTAGACACACTGCCTGCAGTTCAACAAGAACTCAGTTAAAATTAGCAATCATTATTTTTACTTGTGCTGGGACCTTCCCCTGGGAAGCAGACATCTGTTGTGACAGAGACACTGTTATGTGTCCATCTGATTCTATTTTATTTTCCACTTTTTCAGTACTACAGACTTGAAGACTATCCAGGAAGTTAGCTTGGGGTCAGGTGACTGAGTTCTGGCTGATGGGCTGTGGGCCCACATGATGTACATCACATCCAGGCCTGATTCTTAAAAGCTCTTGACTTGTGCTTTCTCTCTCCAGCTGCACAGCTGGAAATGAAGGACCTTCTAATGGCAGAACCACTGGATGGAAGAAGTTCAGATCCCCAAGTGTCTGCATGGAGACCACACGATGCAGAGAGCTGCCCAAACTGCATTGAACTCGGTGAGAGTAAGAAATAACCGTTTATCAGATCAAGTCATTTCAGGGCTTATTTGTTACTTTGGCATAACATGGTCTATCTAGACAAAGTCCCAAATGAAAACTAGCGCAGGGAGTAAGTGAGGAACCAGAGATCAAAAAACAGTGGCTATTCCCAGTCAGGTAGAAATGGGCAGTGTCAATTCTTCATCAGTAGAAAAAGATTGTCACAATTTAAAAACTTTTAAATTTGATTGCTAATTTTCCACACAACTCCCTACCAGAACCAGACAGTTATGATAGTGTGGGGGCAGGTTTTATGATTTGGAAGCCTTCGTCTGAATTTTCTGATCTTTATAGAGCGTCACCACTGCTCCACTTCCATGTCCCAAACCCTGCATGATTCTGTGGCTTAAAAACATCCTCGCCATAAATTTCAATAAATTGGCAGTGAATTTCGGCAGTGGAAACATATTCTCATTTAATATGCACGTCATGGCATGTCTCTCGTCTGGGGACCACCTGTCAAAGGAAGCAGCCATTGGTAATTAAGGGTACACCAAGTATTAAATGATTACAGCCAGTCCACATGAGAACACGCCACATCTGTTTAGCAAAACAACCACACTCCCTGGACCATGGACAACTATGGTTGTCCAAAAATTAACCCTGTAAATCTCTGTTTTGAAGACCCAAGGGCCTTTGCACATACTGTTCCTGCTGCCTGAAATGCTCAGACCTCTTTATCTTCAGACCTCTGCCCAAAAGTCACCTCTTCAGAGATGCCTTCCCGGAATACTCTTTCTATAAGAGGTAACCCTCCCCCCTTAATTCTTTATCTTTGCACCCTATCCATTTCCTTCATAGCACTTATTACAATCTGTAATTTGGGGGGCAAGGGGGCTATTAACTTGCTTATTATCTGTTTCTTCCACCAGACCCAAGTGATCATGAAATCCACCCTTTCTCTAGAATTCCAAATATATGAGCTAATAAAGCCCTTGTAGTGTTTAAACAAGTTTCAGCTGGGTTTTCTCCTATTATAGCTGATTTTACAAATATATTTCCTCTCTATAGCATTATATTGTGTCTTCCTGATGCTAGCTGTATAAATTTAAAATCTTCTATGTGTCAGGCCCTGTATTAGATTCTTTATATTACATTTAATTTCCACAATAACTCTGAAAGTTAGGGATGATTTAATGCTATTTTGTAGATGCAGCCCAAAAGGTGTAACTTTTTTTTGTTGGCTCTGCATCCCTTCTACGGAGAGGGCTGCCCTCCCCCACTGTGCAATTCTGAAGGAGCTGTCATTCAAGTATACCACAGGGGTGGGCACAGGATTCAGGCTGGCCAATCAGGGCATCTCTCCACCTGGACTCTGTGACTGGGCCAGAGGGAAACACATGATCCCAGCAAAGCCAATCACAATCTTCCCTGGCACATAAATACTGGGATGTTAAGATTCTCTCTCTGACTCCAGGATCACACACTAACAGGACCTGTAACCCTGTTACTTCCAGGAGCTACCTTGCTGCCATGCAGAGAAAGCCTGCCTAAGAACAAAATCCACATTTAGTGCGAGTGAGTGAAAAGGCCAATGACATCACTTGAACCCCTGGATCCAGTTGTGCCTGAGACATAACATGAAGTAGTAAGTTTTTCTTATTACTTAACATGGTCTGAGTTGAGTTTCTGCCACATCCATTGACTAATGTGAGCACCATGGAGAAGCTCAATGAATATTCTCAATTTTCCCCCTAAAAGTGACCACTCACCAACCTATCCGTTGACAGCATGTCATCTGTGACACTCCAGCCACCCCTATATTCCCCACTAAGTTACATTGGGTCCAACCCCTAGGCCATGCACATGCTATTCTATCTGGCTGCAGAACTATGTCTTTCCAAAGGGACTCATTTTTTAAGCAGACTTCCTCTTAGTCCCTTACCCCGGAAATGACTGACAGGCCCATTTGCTAACAAGGGCAGGGACCACAGCAAGAATTAAGAGCTTCCAAGCCAGGCAGATTGCCTTTAAAATGTCCAAAGTCAGTGAATAGTGCCCTGTAAAGAAAGAACTATGGTTTCTCATTCTGAGTTTTACATTCAAGGAAACTTGAATATACAGTGAAAGTTGCCATTTCTTTGGAAAGTCGGACTTTCCTTGCATGGATCCCCTAACACTGCTCTTCAGTACAGAGCATGACTCTCAAGGTTTGATTCTAGGGCAGGGCATGATGTCATTTGATATTGTGACTGTGTTCCAGGAACTCCTCAATCTCCCGCATTCTTCATCCCAAGAGCTTCCTGAAGGGTCTGTGCGCAGAAGGAACAATGGCACAATGGGACTCAGACGCCACTTTTTTACAGGCAGAGCAGTGGCCTGCACCACTGGGAAACATGGCCCATGGATCTGGACTCTGAGCAATCGGAGTAGAGATGCATCTGCCCTTAGAGTAGAAGGAGGTGCCCAGGAGGGGGGCAGGCAGAGGAAGCTGAGGCTGGGCCCAGAGCGTGGCTGTTAACCTCTGCTGCTGTCTCTAGTCCAGGTTGAAGGAATCGGGTCAGTAGTCTCCTTTGGAAACCAGAACTGAGAACATGTAAATGTGAAAGTTATCTGATAAGCCAGGATGGGCCGGGAAATCAGGGAGGGGAAAGCCAGGCTACAAAAAGGGAAGAATAAAGCTGATATGCAAAGAGGAGCAGAAAAGAGAACCTGTCCTTCTCTAAGCTCCCGCGTCTCCAGTTCCTGCTCCCAGCTGCACTGCCAACTGCTCCCCGCCGCCTGAGAACTTCAAATAAATCCCCCATTTGTGCTTAAGCTTGAGTGGGTTTCTGTTAGTTATTATACCCATTCTGTCACTTAGTTAACAAAACGAAAAACAAGCAAATAAAGAAGCAAAGTCCCAGTTCAGTTCATTGCAATTTATTTAATTTAAAAATAAAAACAGAAACAAAAAAACAAAACAGAAATCAGTTTCCAACGAAAATACAAACACTTTGGGTGGTTATCCAGCTTTTTTTTTTTTTTTTTTTTTTTTTTTTTTTTTTTTTTTTTTTTTGCTTTTTTTCTTTTTCTTTTCCCCCTGTAGGCTATTCTGGGCTCAAACCAATCAAATGAGTGAAAACCAATTTTGACTGGAGCCATAGAGCAAGTTGCACCAATTAAATTACACCAATATATTATTATAATACCTTTGAAATGCCTTTCAGACCAATAAATAAGAAAAGACAAATTCAAATAAAAAAGTCAACTTTTTATTACCAAAAAAAAATAGAAATTAAATAAAAGTCACAACTTGGATTTTTTTTTAAAAAATGTGCAGTCAAGTTTCTCTCTCTCTCTTTTTTCTTCTAGGAATGATACCATGCCAGTTAATCCCTACAGAACATTTCCAGTTTGGCAATAAGCAGTTAGTCGATCATTCACATTTGTACTCAAGACAGCAGGCCCGGGCAAGCCTCGCCTGAATCCCACCCTGCAAAGTGCTCCCTGTCATCTGAAGCAGCAGCAGGGATGGAAATTCAGTGAGTTCTTAGCCATTTCAATTCGCCTGGGGTCTTGAAGTACTTCCTGAAAACTGATTATGCCTTTGAAATTCACCTGTAAAAAGAAGGATCATTCTATTCCTTTGGCAGATGTGTAAACGAAGACACTGAAAGGCCCAAGAGGCAAGGGAAGGACCAGGAGAGCTGACATCCAACCTCCTGCCTGGTCCACCGGGTCATAAAAGTGTCTCTCACTTGTGATTCCGTGGAAACGAATCAAGCACGACCTGCTTGGCTGGGGACTGGCAGGTAGGTAGGGGTGGTAGGACTTACTCAGGAAGCAGGGAAGTGGCTTTTCTGAGCTTTTCCCTCTCTTCCAGGGTTTTCCTTGAAAAGCAGAGTCAACATCACATCTAGAATCAGAGGATTTAGCAGAACTAGGCAGGGCCTGAGAGACCAGCTAAGCCACCCCTCCAGCTCTCACAGAAGGGGAAACGTAGTCCCCAAAACTCTGCAGGTGCCCAAGGCCACCAGCTAGTTAGCAGCACACCAGGACTCAACCTAGAATCTCGGCCTCGGGGTGGAGGACTGTCTTTGCCACAATCCAGTCTGGGTTTTACTGACAACAGAGAACATACGTGTGTGTTTCTCTTTGAGGGGCTGGGGAGAATCGTTTTTCTGAATAGTGTCATTTTTATTTAAAGATTAGAAAGTTGGAAAATACTAAACCGAGGTAATCACTTGGCAAAAGGAAAAATAAACACATCAACCAGTAGGTAGGTGTTATACCTAAGTCATACCGACAGCTACCCACAAGGCCAGCTGCCATGCATGGGGACCAGCAGTGTGGCAGACCAGGGAGCTCCCAAAAGGTTGTGGAAAACGAGATAAAGAGTAGGGAGCTCAGAGGCTGCCGAATGCCCTCCATGCACCCACACACCCTCCACACACCCTTTGCCACCTACAGGGTTTTCTTTTTCCCTTTGAACCTTTATGGGAGCTCAGGAAGGAGGTGGAATTGAATGCAAGGAAACTGAGACGCTTCCCACAATACATGACTCAGCTGGACCTGAAGGAACACACAAGACAAAACCCCAGAGCTGGTGGCAAAGGGGAGAAATGCCGCCATCTCCTTAGGAAAAGGGTGGCTTTGTTCTCATTAAATGTTCTTCGTGCCTTACGGTGAATTCTTTCTCATCTCCCCATGAGCTATTGCTTGTGGTTTTCCCAAAAATGCTTCCAAAAACCAGTCCTCCTTGTTTCTCTAGGTGACTACCGATGTTGGCCAACTTGAAACAAGGGTTTCCATTTCCCCAGGCCAGTAGAATCTGAAGTCATCCCAAATTCACAAATAAGACCATTCATTTCAAACCCAGTACCTGAAGATGTCCCATTGTGGGAGTGACAGTCTTGTCACCTGCAATCTGGGTGTCTTTTCAAGGTAAGAGTCCTATCACACCTCTTCTCTGCCTTCTCCAGAACCATCTGGAGGCTTCCCGGGAAATGTCTCCTCTTCCATATGCTTCCTCCCAGCCCACTCTGCTCTCTCAACACCTTATTCATGTGAATGGATGAACATTCTTTTCCCCCAAAGCCTAGGCATTCAAACCCATGACACAGAATACCTAGAGTTGGGGGGGAAACACCTTCCGCCTGACTTTCCTTTCCTCGTCCAAATATCCCACCTACACACTAACTCCCTACAAGCAAACTCGCCTACTTCTGAGGATTCCACATGTGGTGGATGGGGAAACCGTTTGCTAGTACTAGACAGGGTCAATGGGTGAGCCAGTTACTCCCTTGGAGACTATGGACAGTATCACATCCAAGTGAGAGCATTCATGCAGATGAGAATGAACCCAAGAGGCAGCATTCCAGTTAATATTGAGATGTTAAAGAAATTGACAAGTTGCCCCCTTGTTGGTGCGGGTCAGTTTCCATTCATCTGTGCAAAAAGCACAGAGGGTCCCAGGCTCTGTTATACACCAGTTTTAACCTCTGACACCACCATCTTTTCCCATCCACCCTTGGGAAGTTGTGCTGAAGAGCAAGGCAGACATCAGAGAAGAAGCCAAAAAATCACCATAGGCTCTAAGTCCTTAGCCGAGTTCAGAGCATCCTCTCTCTTACCAAGGCCCTATCTTCCATTCAAGATAGAGTAGCAAATGGACAAGTGCCACTCCAGTAGCATTCAGAGATAACATAGATCCCACAGGATGCCTTAACCTAATTCCCAGGGCTTAACCAGGTCAAGGATGGCAACTACATGGCATGAGTGCTACAGCCCCTCTTCCCATACCCATGGCAGCCATGACTAGTTGATCACAGAACTCCTTCCCATGTGCCTGGGCTACTCACACCAGCACAGCCAGCAGCCACTATCAATCAACCACCAACTCAAACTCAGGTTGCTGAAATCTACTTGCCAACCCCAAGCAATCAGACCCGACCAAGCTTGCTAATGTGAGAGAAGGAGCAAGCCCTGAGCTCACCCAAAGCAGACCTCTCCAGTCTCTCTCATGCCTCCTCCAGAAGCACTTGGATGACTTCTAGGGAAACGCTCCCTCTTCCAAAGGCTTCCTCCCACCCTCTAAGTGCTGGCCAATGCCACCTCCCCTGATAGCTGGGCCTCTAGGAGGTACCATAAAGCCGATGCCAATTAGGACCCAAATTCTGGCTGGCAGCTGACAGGACTGGCAGAGAGCCCACTTCTCCCTTTTAGGTGCTGGCTCAAGGTTGCAACCTTGGCCAAGTGAGATGGCACCAATCCTTTTTCAGTCTATCATCGTGGCCAGCAAAGAGGTAACCAGCTCGTTAGCACAAGTCATTGCTTCCCTTCCTCCCTCGTACCCACCCCCAACCCGCCCCTGCACCCCGGGGGAGCTAGTTGAGTTTGTTGCAGATCTCCAGCGCTTTCTTGTAGACCTGAGTCACATCATCCATGTCCGTGAGGAGGGAGAAGCTGCTGTCTCCCAGCCGGTTCCGGTACCGCTTCGGGTACTGAGGTCGAGGCCGGTTCTGGAGCCCCTCAAAGTCCTGGATCTGGAGGAAGTTTTCCGCCGAGACACAGCTGCGGATGCGCTGGCGGGCAGGGCGATTCTCCTGCAAATCCAGCAAGTCAAAGGAGTCGCTGGACAGGACACTGTCATCGCTGATGATGCTGGAAGGCCGGCTGTAGCTCCGGGAGAGGCCCTCGGAGGAGACGCTGGGCTCCAGCAAGGATTCCAGTGTGGGCATTTCGGGGCTGGCGAGGGCCGGGTCCATGGTGCCTGCGGAGTACTTGCTGCTGTGTTTCAAGATGCCCTTCCTGCGGCAGGACAGGCTGTGGACAGTCACCCTGGCTGTGTCCGGGGGACTGGGGGACGGGATGCTGCTGCCCATCCCATCGTTGCTGTCCAAGAGCTCCGAGGACTCGCTGCGCTCCGGGGAGGAGTAGTAACCCGATTCCCTCTGCTGCGTCTTTTTCAAGATGCCTTTCTTGGGCATGGTGGCTGCCTGCTTGGGGCTGAGTTTACCTGGCACCTCTCCCTCGGGGGAGCTTGGGAGGGGCACGCCAGTCCGGCACAGGTCCTGCTCCATCTTGAAAGCAGAGGGTAAGGCAGGACTGACGACGCCTTCGATGAAGCCGGTGCTGTGAGAGCGATGCTCGCTGTTGCTTCGCTTCTTCAGGATCCCTTTGAGTCTCTTGGAACTCAGTTTGGATGGACTCTCAGGCACCGAGTCCTGGCCGGACTGGGCAAAGTCGTTCTCTTTCTTGGACTTCTTCAGCGACCGCTGCCGCTCCAGCATGACCTCCGAGGCCCCCGGCTTCGTCAGGTTCTTCATTTTGGCTTCCGCCTCGGCCTGCAGCCCCGTGGACCGGTGGTGCCAGTCAATAATCCGGGCCAGGAGGGGCGACTCGGAGTTGGGGAGGGCATCGCAGTCACAGACGCTGCTCTTGTAGCCCCAGTTCACCCACCAGTGGTTGGCGATGTCCTCGATGGTGGCCCGGCGATCGGGGTTCACCATCAGCATCCACCGGATGAGTCCTCGAGCATCTACGGGACAAGAAGGAAGAGGCCTTAATGGGAGCCCCCGGCTTTGTGACAGGGACGACACTCCAGGTGTGGCTAAGGAGACACGCTCCCTTTCCGAAAACTCCAGTCGGAGCCCCGGGCTAGCCAAAGTCTTCCAGACTGTACCTCAAAAGCCTCATCAAAACTTAGAACCACAGGCCAGTTCGCCATCACAGCCTGGCACGTGTTTGCATGTGAGTGAAGGGATGTCATGACCTACTGGGCTTCCTATCAACTCCAGTCTTTATAAAATGGGCAAGGCCGGGTATCCTGGAAAGAATCCAGACCCAACCCCTGCAGCGCCCCACTACTCCTCCGGTGAATGTCATTTCACCGAAAGGGAACACAGCTGTAGATTACTGTGGCTCTCTTTAGTCCTCTGGACGGAGGCTTGCATAAGCATGCAGTGCTCAGGGTCATCGGGAAAGTGTGTAGCGATGACAAGGAAATTTGGGGCCGAAATGGCGAGAAAAAGGCTCCTCATCAGAGAGGGAAAGACGGAGAAGGATGGAGAGGAGCCCAGACCTGGCACACCTGGGCAGTGAAGGGGCCAAGTGCAGGGCCATGCCCACGGCCGGCCTTGGCCAGGGTCTGAGGCCCACATCCCATGAGCTCAGCTCCTTCCCCTCTGACATAAGCCACAGTGTGCTGAGCTGTCAGATCAGAGAGCTGATGTGTCTGCTGTCAGCTCACCGCCTGTCTGACAAACTCCATTTGCAAATTTCTGCTGCCAGAGAGGTAAGGGGAAGCCCCAAAGGGATGTCGAGGAGGCACAGGAACCAGCTGCCTCTCACTGCTTTCACACTGACTTCAAAGATCCACTGTGCTTCCCCGATGGGGGCTGAATTACGTCCCGGGAGGCGCCACCTCCCCCGGCCACTTATGTGGGCTAATGAGTAGCTGGCAAGGGCCTGGCAAGGGGGCCAGGGGTGAGCCCCACCCCTGAAAAGTGACAGGATGATGTTCCACAATTCAGTCATTCCACAATTATTTCCTGAACTCCTGTAATGTGCCAGGAACCCATTAGCTGGTGAGGCAAGTAAGACCGCCATAGAGATCACCCTAAAATTTCTAAAAGAAAGAAAGAAAGAAAAAATTCCCAACCAGGTTGGCTTATTGACAAAAAATAGAGATATGACTCTATCTGTCTACACATGTGCAGTAGTCAATCCTCATTATTCACAGATTCTGTACTTGTACATTCACCGACTCACTAAAATGTATGTGTGACCTGAACATCAGCACTCAGGGGGCTTTCCTGGCTACTCGAGCACAGTAGAGAGAGGCAACACCCAGAGCCGCCCGACACGCATGTGTGTTCCCAGCTGAGGTCCGACAAGGGGACGGCACTCTGCTTGTTGTCTGCGCTCATGACTCACCCAGTGTCCTTTTCAGCCTATTTAGTCCACATTTTTCACATTTTTGCACCTTCTGTGGATTCGGCTGTTTAAACTGCCCCAGGTGTAGTGCTATCTAGTGATCCTAAGGGCAAGAAGGCTGTGATGTGTGTCAGGTAAGCTTGTTCAGGCATGAATCACGGGGCTGTTGGCCATGACTTTGATGATAAGGCATCAACAGTATATTTTAAGCGAGGTATCTTTAAACAGAAACATATAAGGTTTGTTGAAAACAAGGTTACCTACTGTTCATTGACAAAAGCACGGGGACTTCAGAGGCTCACAGGAATGAGCAACACTCCAGGACTCACTAACCCAGGGGTGGACAAACTTTTTGACTCGGGGGCCACAATGGGTTCTTAAACTGGACCGGAGGGCCGGAACAAAAGCATGGATGGAGTGTTTGTGTGAACTAATATAAATTCAAAGTAAACATCATTACATAAAAGGGTACGGTCTTTTTTTTTTTTTTTAGTTTTATTCATTTCAAACGGGCCGAATCCGGCCCGCGGGCCGTAGTTTGCCCACGGCTGCACTAACCAGTGCCCACAGCAACGTTACAGAACGTCACTACCCGAATAATGAGAATCGCCTATGGGTGTCCGTGTGTGAACATATGTATACATATATGAAGTGCCTGTGTTAACTGTATAAAAATGGTCCCCTGGGCACACCCTTTCCCCACACGCAGGGCACTCTCCCATCAAGAGGCAGAGCCTGTGGCCTCGGTGGCTTTGACCATTGGGAGACGGCAGAAGGGACTTTATCTGGCTTCCAACACAGACATGAAGAAAGCCTGGCCGCTGCTGCTTCCTCCCTCTTAGAGCCCAGAGCTGCCACGTAAGAAGGGCAGGCTCCCTCCCAGACTGAGAGGCCTGGGGAGGCACCTCATGGACAGAGAGGCCACAAGGAGTGTCCCCAAGTCAGCCCCGTTGCCATCGGTCACAGCTGCAGGAGAAACCCCTTCCAGCAAGGCCAGCAGAGCTCTAGCCAACCCAGGTGATCAATACGGTGACATGGCTGCTTGGGGGATAGGATAGAGCCCTGATGCAGCCACAGATCATGAAACAGTGTCCCTGGGGGCACAGTGGTGAAAAGGGGCCGTTGTCACGCTCCTGACAGTCTTGTCAGGGTGGTCTGTATGTCTACCTGGACCAGAAGACACCAAAAATACCTCTTCCAAATTTTTAATTTTTAGTGGAGAAACTGAGTCCAAACAGGGTCAGGGGTCTGCCCAAGTCCACACAGCGAGTGAACGGGACTCCTCTGAGCCTTCCTGCTGTGCAGAAGGCTTGTTCTGAAGTTCTCATTCAGGAAAGCGGCCCCACAAGCCAGCTCTGCCAGAAAGCAAAGAGCTGGAGGGAATCAAGAGGAAAAGCAGGAGACTCCGTCCAGACGCTAAAACAGAAGCAGAAAGCGTGCGTTCGGGCAGCTCCCACTCCACCCGACCCTCCCGAGCACGCACCTGAGGGCTGCGTGGGCTCCCGGTACTCTCCGCTGCTGATTTGCCGAATGAGGTTTTTGTGATCGAAACCATCGAAGGGCATTGTTCCATAAACCAGGGTGTAAAGCAACACGCCCAGGGCCCAGCTGTCCACCTGGAGCAGAGAGACAGGACATATAGGAGCTGGGAAGCCGATTCCGATTCCGGATGCCTTCCAGACCATTAGCATCACAGCGTGGGAGCAGCCACCCCCAGCGACCCCAGAGCCGAGTTTAGCACCTGGCAGACAGGTTCCCATGGCAGCCTGACAACTGATACGCAGTGCAGCTGGGCATTTCCACTTCAAACCAAGCCCCCCGCAGTCCCAGCCCATGTAAGAGCTTTCTCAAACAGACTGTCTTCTTTGATCATCACTCTAACTTTGTGAACTATGTAGGGTCTGGATGACTTTCACCCACCCCCCACTTCACAGATGAGAATACTGAGGCACAAAGACCTCCATGGTTTCTCGAGAGGCCTCGCCCCAGGGACGGAGGTTAAGCCTGGGACGCAGGGTTCTTGGCTTCTCACCCAGGAATCCATTCCTTCCTGTACCTTCCTTCAAATGGACCGGGCGGCAAACCCAAATGCTTACAGGAGCCAGGCAGGCAACAAACATGAACGGAGCAAGAGAGAATTGGGGGACCAACGTGTAGACAGACAAACCGTACAGTCCGTTCATCCATCTCAAGCAGGCAGCCCCCCACCCCACCCCGGGCTAATTGCCGCCTCAAGGCGACACACAGACCCCGCATGGCTCGGTCCTTTGGTGTTTTCAAGAGAAGTCAGAAACCAGACTTCTATGTGAAACCTCCCAGTTATTAAATGTGTGCTCAATATATATTTTTTTCTTTTTTAGAAAAACAAATGTGGCCAAATAAAGCACGCTTGCTGGCCGGTTCACAGGCTGCCAGCTTGTAACCTCGGAAAGAGATCCTCCAAGATCAAAGAGGCGTTCATTGTCTATGATAACTTTACAGTGTCGAGTTTCTGCAGTTTCGTAAATGGAAACCTGTGCTCCTCCCTTACATTCTTGCTCCAGAAGGACTTTCCCTGCACTGTCGCTGGCAGAGGCTGCTGGCATCCTTCTCTCCCGCCTCCAGCCCTGCCCCAAACACTCTCAAACAGATAAATATTTGGAAGGAAACATTTCAACCCAGCGAACAGCTGCTATTTAAAGAATACTGAGTGGATGAAATCTCTCTGTAAAGAACCATCCTTTTCTTTTTTTTTTTTTTTAAAGAAAATAGCCAGTCACAAAAAATAGCCACCCGCTTTTAAAATAACATTTCTACCTAACACACGGCCCCAAAAAGCCTTAGGCATGTAGAGCCGTGCATTGCTCATGAGTTCAAAGATACAATTAAAATGTATTTCCTTAATCAAAAAATACAGGCTGTCAAAATTATTTGCGAAAAGGTAGTCATTCCCAGAGCTAAGGGGTTTTCGGTTTGATGTTTGTTTGTTTTCTTGTTTTGTTCTAATGAGGAAAAACTGAAAGTAATCTGACTGTCTAAATCTTGGGGAGTGATTAAATTATAGTATGTTTACTCCTACAATAAAACTTTGTGTTGTCATTAAAAACTATGTTTTTAATAACAAATTCAGAAAATGTCATAATGTTAATAAAATACACACACACACACATACATGTATACATACAAGGACCTCAATTAAGATTTTTTTATTGATTTTTAGAGAGGGAAGAGAGAGGGAGACAGAGAGAAATATGTGTATGAGAGTGGAGCATCGATCAGTTGCCTCCTGCAGGCTCCCTATCAAGGATTGAACTGGAAACCCGGGCACATGCCCTGACTGAAAACTTTTAGATGCTCAGAACGACGCCCAACCAACTGAGCCACACAAGCCACGACTCAATTTTTGAAATGCAGAGATTGACACTGGAAAAGGGTCTTTTAAAAAGCCACAAAAATATTAACTGGTTATCTTTTATGGGTAGATTGCAGGTAACTTTAATTTCTCTTTTAGGCTTTTCTGGATTTTTCTATTTTTCTCCCAGGTGGGTGTGTGTTATGGCTTTTATAATCATATAAGGAAAAGTTTGCTTTGCTTATTTTGTTGGGGTATTTTTTAAAGTATTTTCTGGATTAAGCCCTTTGCCCTCTGGCCTTTTCTCCCCCCAAGACCCCCCACCCCCACTCGCCCTGCCATACACTACAGGCGGCCTGCTCACCTCTGGCCCTCGGTAAGGCCTCCCATTGACAATTTCAGGAGACGCATAGAGTGGGCTCCCACAAAACGTTTGCAAGAACTTGTCCTTCTGGTACAGGTTGGAAAGCCCAAAGTCAGCAATCTACAAGAAAGCAAGATCCAGGGGGCTCGTTAGCATCGTAGTCAGTGTCTGCATTGGATCAACTCGCACCACCCAGCACTAGAGCAGCTGAGGACACCTGGGGGGTCTGCTGGCTGAGTCACCCTTTCTCTGTAGCCCTGGGTCTTCATAAAAGGACCAGTCAACACGACTGGGCCCGTGACTCCCGGCAGCGGTCCTTGGCATCCAGCACAACATCTGCCACATCTGTACACTACCGGCTCTGTTCCTTAAAATTACTCCTTACATGGACGCTCTTTTTTTTTTTTACATATATTTTTATTGATTTCAGAGAGGAAGGAAGAGGGAGGGAGAGATAGAAATATTTTTTTTTAATTTTATTTTTTATTACAAAGGGTATTACATATGTGTCCATTTTTCCCCCCCGCCCTAGACAGTCCCCTAGCCTCCCCTATCCCCCAGTGTCTTATGTTTTCATTGACTGGCTTATTTCACTTAGCATAATGATAGAAATATTAATGATGAGAGAGAATCATTGATCAGCTGCTTCCTGCACACGCCCTACTGGAGATTGAGCCTGCAACCCAGGCATGTGCCCTTGACCGGAATCGAACCTGGGACTTTTCAGTCCACAGGCCAACGCTCTATCCACTGAGCAAACTGGCTAGGCCTGGACGCTCTATCTTCACTTCCATTTCGATTTGCCTGAGAAATCCACAAAATCACAGGCTTGATGTTTCTGATGAACACTGAAGTGCATAAGCACCTGGTATTAGTTTGAAAAGTGTTCATCTGTGGCCTACCTAATCACACTGCACCACGGTGGTGTGCACATCGCACCTCACCTGTGCACCTGGCACCTCCACCTCTTTATCCGCCCACACGCTGATCAGAACTGCAGTTTGCCTACCTGGTGATCCTAGAGGAAATGGACTCATGGCACTGGATTTTGTTAAATGAGTTTTTAATCATATTTCAGCCATCTGTGTGACATGGAGCAGGTCCATTAGCTACTCTAAGCCTCAGTTTGCTCGCCAGAAAATGGGAATCCATGATCCCTATCCTGTTCCAGCTCACACGATTATTGTGAGAATGAAAAAAAAATCCATCCAGATGAGACCATGACTGCAAAAGTGCTTTATAGTCCTAAGCAAATGTTTTACCTAACCTTGCTGCTCTTTAACCGCACAGCCCTTGAAGCCATTCTCTGTTCCTTGAGTTTAAGTGTTTAATTTATTGTTATTTATGGCAGCACTCTTCCATATATATTTTCCACATATGTATCACAAATATACATATAATGTTCATATATACATATGTGCATATATGACATACACACATATATATATATATATACACATATATATATAAAAGAATTCACCTTGCCTGTTAGACTTAAGTCCCCTGAGGCAGATGGGAGGTTCCACATCTTCCCCTCATCTTTGTATCACCCACTGCTTAGCACCTGCTCGCACCCAAGAAACACTTCTCACTAGAATAAGCAGTATATTTTGAAAAGCACAAGATAATTAGCAGATAATACAAAGGAATAATGATAAACTTAGTTTCCACTTACTGAACAACTTCCAAGTATCAGCCAGTGTTCTGAGCATTTTACGCTCTCTACTCCAATCCTACCCAAAACCCCATTTACACAAGAAGGTGAATGTACTTCATGGCACTGAACTGTACATCTAAAAATAGTTAAGATGGTGAATTTTGTTTTATGGATATTTTACCACATTAAAAAAACATTTAACAGATGAGAAAAATGAGGTTTAGGGAGATGAGGCTGTTCATTTCAAGTGAACTAACTAGTAAGCACCTATGTAAACCCGTATCTGTAAAGTTCCCAACCATGAGCCTTCCTGCCCCTGGTAACGGCAAATTTCACTCCACTCTCAGCCTTTCACGCAGCCTTGCAGCCTGAGCCGCCGCGGGCTTCTGCCGCTCCCCAAGCTGATTTCCACCGGAGGCTTGAAAACAGCCTGAGTGATTCACATGCCCAGCCTGACCGCAAACCCGCTAGGGCTCTGTTTTGAATGCAGCCCCCCAAATAAGCCTATTTTATAGAAGTCAGCCCTGAATGAACGGAATGTCACTGCAAGTAGCTGGTGAAAAACCACCCTTAGAAAACGCATTCTCGGGGTTCAGATTGCACTTAATTACCCTGAATTCCACTTTCTTATCAAGGCCCCTGCCTGGCTTGCTTACAGGAAGTTGGTTGGAAGCTCTATGCAGTGTGCCCTGTCAACCAGAAGAGGAATGACAGGGCTGCAGCCCTGGGACATACCGAGAAGTCGCAGACTGCGTCCTCTCCGACCACTAAGGCAGAACTAACTGTCCCAGCCGGTGCGCATCCTGCGGACAATACATTCCTTCCCACCCCGCAATGTCGGTGGCACCCGGGGCACCTATGAGCTTCCAGATACACATATGTGTGAGAGGCACCCGCCAGCTCCGCGTGCAAAACCCCACGTGCACACACTCACACGTGGAGTTCTCCAAGCCTGGGCATCCTTGCTTTCTTTGCAGCCCACCGAGAGTGTGTTTATGTTGTACCCACTCCCATCCTCACAGACGGATGCTTATCAGCCTCTCCCAGTAAAGCTGTCAGGGCCGCTGACAGAAGATTAATAGAGATCTAGATTAGTCCATGTTCTTGGCACTTTAACGGGAAAAGCAATACTAATAAACACACATACACATACACACACACACACACACACACACACATCATTCTCAAACCTTAAGCCACTTAAACTTGGGCTGTGGCTCTAGACCTCATACCCTGTGGCTCCCTACATCAAGTGGCCACTGGTTATGAAACTTCTCAAAGCCTCAGTTTTCTCATCTGTAAAATGGAGGTAAGAACAGTGTCTACCCCCAAAGGGTCATGGCGAAAATTAAATACCATAATGTATGTAAAATACTTAGAACAGAAATTTTATTTATTGAGCTGAAGCTCAATAAATATTTGCTTCCCACCTTTAAATCCATGTTGGTAACTTTAGTAACTTCATGATACTCAAAAGGATACTGAATTTCCATTTAAGAGAATTACATAAGACTTTTATTTCAAATAAGTATGATTTTTAAAAGTGAAATGAACTAAATATATTAAGTAAAATAGCAAAAGGAGATACTAGGGAAAGTCAAAATCTAAGAAGAGAGTGAAAGAAAAGAAATCTGGGCCCAGCTGGTGCAGTTCAGCAGTTGGGCATGGACCCAGGAATCAAGAGGGC